CCCCCCCCCCCCACACCTCCCAGGCCTTCTTGTCACACTTGTGATTTTTCCCTAAGTCTGTCCTACCCCAGGCACGGGCTGCCCCAGGGCCAATCCTAGACAGCGACCCTCACAACGGCTCCCACGTGAAGTGTGACCCATAAATTAATTCTTCCGTACCCACCCCATCCTGTGCCCCCCACCCCAACAACAACCACACACACACGCACCCTTCAGAGAATCTCAGAATTACACCCCAACTGGGCTAAGTCAAGGTATTCCTTCCAAACTGAATTCCTCTCTGAAAGGAATTCTGGTGAACCATGTTTTCTCCATCTTGTGTCAGGGGAAAAGGTAAACGTCTCAGCTGAACAACAGAGCACTCAGAAACTCTGGAAAAGCCATTATTTCGGGAGAACGGGAATTGGGCAGGGAGAAAGCAGTGCTGGAGGAAAGCAAACCTTCCCACAGGTTAACAAATCCTCCTGTCTGCCTCCGATTCCTCCCCCGGCCCAGGGAACCCAAGCCCTCCTCCCTGCGAAGCTGCTTCTGCGAGCCTAGTAGCTTCTGGAATGTTGCACTGAAGTCAAGAGACTCAAAAGGATCCAGGTCAGGTAGTGACAAGTGTTGCACAAGAACACAACTCAGGTAAGGGGACAGGGGAGGGACACAGGCACCAACTGGGTGTTCATGACCTTGGACAGAACTGGAGTTCTCCACACCCCCCTCGGGGACGCTCAGACCCGGGAGGAAACTAGACCAGCACTGAGACTCTGGAGTCAGCGGTCCTGGATGTCTGCCTTGGGTGAGTAGTCTGAGCCCCTAGTTACATATACAAAATGGAGCTTGAAACACCCTCCTCCGGGGTTCTAGAAAGGACTGAAGGAGATCGTGTATACGAAGCACATGGTGCCTGGTGGTCAGAAAATGCTCCACACCTGGCAGCCGTCAGGACACTGATGCTTTCTAATGGGAGAGTTTCTAAAATGCGTACTCTAGAGCAGAGCCGTGCTGTACCTGAGGGAGTCTGGGTCCCCCAGAAGAGTCAAGGGTGAGCCCACCCCCCACCGCGAACTGTGACTGTCCTCAGCGCTCCCTCCCCACTGTCTGCAGCCTGGGACCCGGCTACTCATCGCGTCTGCCCCCCCTGCCTGGTGCTCGAGGCAGGCGGGCAGGCGAGGAAGGGGAGGTTCATAGGTGTAGCGGACCTACGGGTCAGCCCCAGACCCTCCACAAAGCCGGCTTTGTAACCCAGGATCACGAGTTTCTCTGGCCTCAGTCTCTCCGTCTGTGAAACCAGTTTTGTGGACTTAACTTCCCACGACGGGCTTTCCATCGATGGACCCGGGACGTGGAAGAGAAATCAAGCAGAGAGCTGGAAGTCTCGGCTTACGAAGGCGGTTCACTGAGACCCACCGGGAGCTCCTGGTGCCGTGGCCCGTGTGGATTCCTTGACGCGATGACAGCATGGCGGGAGCACCAACCCGCACGCATTGAGCGCCGAGGCTGACTTACTCAGAAGCTGATGAAGCCTGGGCATCCTGCCCCCTTGCGAGCCGGGACCTGACCTTCTGTTGCGGGTGGGGGGTGGGTCAGGAAGGCCTCCTAGAGGCAAAGAGTGCTGCCGCTGTCTGAGGGGATCATTCCAGCCTTGGGGCCTGTCCTGGGGCTACAGGTGGGGCCGGGGGACTGAACCCACTACCTGCCCGCCCACCTGGGTCCCAGTAACAACCTGTCCCACAGGCGCCCTGTTGGGCACCCAGGAGCGCCCCCCTTGGGTCCCAGGAGGAAGGGCTCGAACCCCATGCTGCTCTGTGCCCCGCTCAGGGGCCACCTTGTGCCTGACCCCTGCCCCATCTAGGATCAAAGAGCTGGGTTCTCTGGGTGAGAAACAGCCGAAAGATTTACAGATGCGGCACCACCAACACTAAGTTGTGAAGCTGGAAGAGACATTTCTAAAGTCTCAGTGATAAGAAGGAAGGTCGATTCACCAGGCCAGAGGCC